CTCTTGACTGCCCCCTCCAGAACCTCCCTGCCCCTTCTCCGACCCCCTGGCTCCCTTGTCGTTGGCCTTCGGCTAACGTCTCTGTGAGCCGTTCTCCCGGCAGGCTGGGGAGCAGGGGAGGAGCGCCAGACTGCCAGAGGCGAATGCAGGTAGGGAGGGAGGGAGTGATCTCAGCTGCAGGGGGGAGGAGGGGGAAGTGGAGGACGGGCTCTCTCTGGCTGTCAGAGCCCCATGTAAGTGACACCATCCAGCCGGCTGCCCTGTTAGCCGCGCGCGCTCTGCATGGGGGGGGAAGTCCGGACATTTACAAATTCCCCCCGGACGCTATTTTTAGCTCAAAAAGCCGGACATGTCCGGGGGAATCCAGACGAATGGTAACCCTAGTCCATGCACCAATCAGTCTGACTTGGATCAGCCAGCATGCAGGCCTCAGCGCCTAGGACCCAGCTAGGGGATGGGTCAGAGCCCAAGTCTCACCATGACTCAGGCCCAAGCCCCTTCTGCAGCGTGGACACAGCTCGAGCCACAGACCCGAGTCAGAAGGTCTGCATGGTGCAGTATGGCCGCGTTGGCAAAGCTGTGAGACCCGGATCGGACAATGACCTGTCCGGTTTTACAAGGCAGTGTGGATGCTCAAGTGTGGACTTGGAAACATCATATCCCCAAGCTCAGATCCCACCACTCTGGACATAGAGGCCTTGTCTGCCCTGAGGGTTTTCCCTGATTCCAGTCACCTTGTCGCAGTTTACACTTACCCCGGTTTCAAGCAGGGGTGAAGCCCCCCCCAGTGCGAATAGCAGCTTTGCCTGTCTGCATTGGGGGGTTGCAGTGAGGGCTGGAATCAGGGCAAATGCCCAGCTTAGCTAAGGCCTGAATTTAGTTACCAAGGAGGGGCGCAGGGGATGTTTCCCAGGGGCTGCGGTGCTGTGCCAGGAGCCAGTGACATTGGGTTCTTCCTGGGGAAAGACAGAGACAGACGGCAACGGCCCCTCGCTCCTGAGCTCTTTTATTAGCCTCTGGTGATTCTTCTGGTCTGATCTGGTTCTAACCCATCCCCACCGCGAGCCAGCTCAGGGGCTGTCGTCCTCATCGAAGTAGGAGCCGTCGATGCGCTGCCTGCTGAATTTGACCTCCTCCTCCTTGCAGAGCTGGAGGCTCAGGATGACCTTGCAGGCCTGGATCTGCACCTCCTCCTCTGGGTGGATGATGAGGGAGAGCAGGCGGTCAGCCAGGTGAGAGTCCTCTCCAAAGAGCGCCTCATGGAGGGACAGCTCGTTGTACTCCCAGTGCACCGACTGGTACTGCGGGGTCAGGCGCCCCTCGCTCAGCTTCTCCACGAACACCAACATCTCATAGAGCAGGTTGCCGGGCAGCGAGGCGTGGAAGAGGTTCAGGAAGTCATGGTGCACCTGGGGGCCCACAGAAGGTATTGCTATGGGCTGAATTCATCTTCGCCTCCCCCATACATGTTTCCCCACCATGGCTCTGCCAGGTGGGAATGTGGGAGGGAGGGTGGAAGATCCCTCCCCAAAGGCAATGCACAGGGTCCCAAGGTTCTGGGGGGATTCTGATCTAGCCAGGGCCGTAGATTTCTGCTCATCCTTGCCAGCCTCGAAAGAAGGAGCAACAACAGCAGTTTCTCTGCGCTTGAGCCAGACCCCTGAACCCTGCCCAATGAGTGTGGAGCGTTCTCAGGTGCTGGCTTTCTGCTCCTGCTGGGCCTGAAATGCTTTGAGATCAGCCTCTTGGGGGATCCCAGACCCACCAGCTTCTTGATGGAGAAGGATGGGGCAGGAAAGTTAAGGAGGCGTATATGAACCTCAGCTACCGGGAGCGGTTCAGTTCCAGGGCCTGGAGCAGAGAGTGGCAGGGAGCAGGCACGTGAGGAGGGGCAGGGGGAGAGCACTTTGCTGCCCCGCCCCACGTTAACGCTCAGCGTTTCCAGGCGCAGGGAACCAGGGAGAGCGTGTTTTCTTTCGGTGGGTTGGGTTTTTGTCCAAATCAGCAACTGCATCCAAACCAGGGCCAATTTGAATCAGAACTTCCAAGGGTATTCAGCCTGGCGCACAGCCCCAGCGGGGAAACATCAGCCTGGGCAGCTGAAGTTTGGCAAAGTCATAAGCAACTGGGTCTTATAAGGGGAAAATCCCAGGCACAGCCTGGGCCACCTATAATATAGGACTCCAGATGCCCCTGGCCTTGCCTCCTCTGTGCTCCCTGCTCTCCTCTGCCCCGGGCCCGGCTCTTCAAGACACTCCCAGCCCTGCTAGCAGGCTGTCCCTTACCTGGCAGTTCATGATGTCATACAGAAGGTCTTCTTTCTGGGCCAGGTTGCTCAGCAGCTTGAGCACCTGCACCTAAGGAAACAGGGCAGGGTGTCTGAGCACATGACTCAGGGAGGGGAACGCCACTCCAGGCCCTGTCGCTGCTGAAGCAAAGGTCAGTGTCCAGGAGGAGCCACTGAAGGGAATGAGGTGGGAGAACTCACAGCTGCTCACTTCAGCCCCAGCCTCACCCAGCAGGGGGCACCATAGGGCATGGGACTAAGATCTGTGGCTGTGGGGGAGCTCCCAGCTACTCCAGTCCCAGCCTCACCCAGCAGGGGGCGCTGTAGGGAATGGGGTAGGAGCACTGACTATGGGGTGCTCCTGGCTACTCCAGTCCCAAGCTCTCCCAGCAGAGGGCACTGTAGGGCATGGAGCAGGAGCGCTGGCTGGAGGAGAACAAGACCAGCCTAGTGGTCTGAGCTCAGGATTGGGAGCCCATGTCTCCTGCAGTCCAAGCTGAGCTGGGACAGGGACACACGGTGTGGGTTTAGACAAGTCCCAGTTTCCCATCTGTAAATCCGGTCTGAGGGGTGAGGCGAGTGGAGTTAATTAGTTAGTGCTTGTAAAGCACATGGAGGACCAGTCCTGTGTACTACTGGGAGTGTGGCAGAGTCGTCCAGCAGCCCCCTTAGGGAACAGCTCGAGGGCAGGGTGTGGAAGGAGCTCACATGGACTCCTGTACCAGACAGGGACTCCCCATCCGTCATGGTGCAGGAGCTCCTGGCTGGAAGGAGAAGGAATGCCCCCATTTCTATACCTGGGTCAAAGTGCTCCCCGTCTGCAGGATCTCCATCAAGGAGGGTATAATCCGTCTCAGGAGCGGGTGGGTGTGATCCGGCAAGGGCAAGCCGTTCAGCAGCCTCAGGCCAGCAATGTGCAGCTCCGTGTCCCAGATGGTGGTGACCAGCTCCAGGATCTTGGGCACAAACTCCTGCACGGAAAGACAGAGCGGCCCCATGGTTGGTCACCCGACTCCAAAGGCCTGGGGCAAGTGCAGCCCCCTAGCCACGCCCTCCAAGGGTGCCTGCTACTGGACTTTGTGCGGTTCTAAAGAAGGACCCCCACACGTTTCCCTTCAGAGAGAAAAATCAGCGCATGCAGGGAACCGATACAGCCGACCTCAGAGGCAAAGGGCTGAGGGGTAACATTGGAGCCAAAGGAGTCCAGACATATTGAGTGAGAGTCAGAGAGGGGAGCAAATACCTGGATTTTAATTTTAAACTTCCGGATACCAGCAAATGCCTTGAGAGCATTTAACGCCTGGATTTTGATGCCTTTATCTTTGTCATCCAAGGCTGAGGCCACCTGTCTGATGTCCTCATAGGTACAGGCTGAGGCCTGGAGAAGTAAGATACAGACATGGGTAGAGATGAATTAAAACACATGCAGGGGCATCGCACTTCTGAGTCATTATTTGTGCTCCTAAATGTAGGTACTGGGGGGGGCCGGGAGCCATATAAGGACCTGGGGGAGGGGAGCCAACGGAGCTTCCTTTCAGTCAGCCTGCCAATGGGTGACTAGGCAGTGAGTGGCTGAGCCCGGGCAGAACCCCACCAAGCCCAGGGCTGGAGCCCAGTTGCTGTCTCTTAAAGCCGGCCATGTTCCAGCCAGGGGACCAACTCTGCCATGTGAGGGCCACCGTTTACAGGGGTGAGGGACAAGAATAGGATTAACTCTGCCCCCGTGTCTGTTCCATCCCATCTCTCCCACTGAACCACACCAGCAAGGACCCAGAGGCCCCCACAGTGCACGAGAAGGATGTCCCATGTCTACCGCCCTCCTGGGGCACTTGGTCTATTTAATTTTATACAACAGACCTAGCAACTGTTTTCGCCCAGCCCCACTAGCTTGTCCCATTCCCTCTGTTCTGCTACGGGGCTCGCGTTACATTAAGAGGCCTGCACCACCCCGTCAGCCGCTCCACCTCAACCTGCTGTCCATGGCCTGCTGTGGGGAGTGAGATGTCTGAAGGTGCCCCGGGCTTTTCTCTGATCTGGGCTACTGCAGCCACTGGGAATAGCTAGGAGGCTCGGTACATGCACAGACACAAGGTCGTTGAAGCTGAGGGAATTCTGAGCACAGACCAGGGGGGACACTGGTTTCCAACAGGGTCTTCCCAGAGTTAGAGAAACGATGTGATAAGAAACCGGCCTCTCCCTGTTAATAAACATGAGAGCGGGGATCTAACCAAAACCTCAGCCCCTTCAAACTCACGCAGTCCAGAGCCAGGCTATACAGCCTGGGCCCATCTCTCGTTAAACAGCGTCTCGCTGCTTGGCCCCATCAGGGCGAGATTCTTTGGCATCACGGAACAGGAAGCAGAGTCCCCTGAAAA